CTCCACAAAATAAAAAATGTAAAACTATTTCAACTACTGCATCATCAGTTGATAGGTCTTGTAATATGACACCTATCATTATTGAAAAAAGTTCAGAACGCAAGAAAAATCCAATTAAAACTGGAAAAGACAATTCTGTCCAGTTAGAATTTTCTGTCAGTAATATAACAGATAATAATGTTATTGCTAACAATTCAAGTGACTGGCTGTCATGTAATGGGAACTCAATACAAATGGACATTTCAGAAAAACAGAAAAATGCATCCAATTTGATTGATATATCAAGTGAACATCAAGAGTGGATTACTACAATATGTGAAGGAATAAGTATTGAACGTAAAAAGCTATGTAAAAGAACATCTGTTGTTGAATATAAAACAATTCAAAGTAACCCTTCCTGTATAAATTACAAATATTTTAGAAAAGTTCGTCCACTAATAACTACTTGAACTTATGAGGTCTATTAAAGAAAAGTAAAATTTGTTGTTCATGTAATTTTGAAAATTCATACTTTTTAAATAAATAAAAATAAATATTTTTTAAAGTAAAAACAGCAAATATCTAATCTTGTAAAGCGAAATATTATGTATACAATCAAAAGCAAAATAAAAATAAAGGTTTTTGATGATTTGAATTTATTTCATTTCATGTGTAATCATACTATCATAGATAAATAAGCATACTATTTTAATGGGAATTGATTAGTACTAAAAGTACATGCAGAACATAATTTAAATAACATATATTATTGACTAAATTAATACTTATGTAGACTCAATTAAATATACTAAATTTATACATCTTCATATCATTTGATCATTTTTGTCATAGACACATATTTATTTTTTATGCCTTTTAACTGGGTGGTCATTTAGCCCATCATGACGTTTATGCATTGCCTAGACAGTTGAGATCAGTAATTTTACTAAAAATATGTTAAGATGTGATAAGATTCTTTTAAAGCAAATGTAGTTATTAATTTCTAGAAGAGGAAATTTGATTTCGCGCATAAATCCGATGTCCTAATTATATGTTTTCTCAAAGTTTCAAGTCATTCTGAATCGAATCAGACCAAATTTGGAAAGAGTATGTGTGTGCGCATGTGAGCCGATTTTTAGCCATTCGCGACGTTTTCTCAAAAACGGCTGGACCGATTTCAAAAATTAAAAGCCATCCCTTGTAACTCGATGAAGGTGATCGGCCGAGCAGTTTCTTAATAGTAATTAGCAGAAAAATGTAAAGGTTTTTGTCCACGTTTTAGCCCACAATCTTGAATCGACCTTAAAAATACGAAAACTGTTCGGAAGTTATTTGTTGGGATTAGCGCGCTTAAGCAATTTTAATCAGAATCTACGCCTACTTTTTTTATCTATATGGTTCCGTAGCTAATTTTCCAGAAGCTACTGATTACAGTTGACTTCTGCACTGTTTTTTTAATGAATGCGAATATTGGAAATAAAACACGACTTTGCGCAAAAGTAATTATACTTTCCAATGTGGAAATTAAAATATTGGGTTGTTCGGAAAATAACTTTGTTTTTTATAGACATTTTGGCACGTAATTTTCGTACAATAAACAATTATACTTTGATAAATTTTGTATTGGCAGTTTTAATCGAACGTCTTTTGTCATATTTCCGGTATTTCATAATTTTGAAATCATATTTTTTTTGGTTGTTAAAAATTTTTTTAGTGACCGGAACAAATAATGGTCTGATGATGGCAGGTCTGGATAATATGATGAATGTGTCATTGGGTCCCATTCAAGCTACAAAAGCTTTTGGCGATTAACCAAACTTATGGGAGGTCTTGCGTCGTCTTGATGCCTTTTCTATTGAACTATACCATTTAGTTTATCCAGCTGATGACATAACGCATCCGAATTAATCGTTATGTTATCCTAGAAAAGCTGAAAAATGAACAACTCCTTACCAAAGATACCGCTTCATTTTTTTCTGGCAAATTTCAGCCTTGCACCTGTTTTGAGCAGGTTCTTCTTTTTTGTTTCATGGGCAATTGCGTGTGTTATATTCTACATCCCACTTGGCATTCCTAGTGACAATTCGCTTCAAAACCTGATAATTTTCAAGACTTTTCAGAGACGAATCGCGTACGCCAGTGCGACGACAGAGGTTTCTTTCTATGAGAACCATATATTGAGTTTCGAGGAAAATCCCAGACCTTTCGAGTGGTCATGAACTGTTAAATTTGATAAATTTTTACATAATGGAATCTCATGTATTGTTATGCGTCGGTTTGCATCAACTAATGCTTTTCTCGCTTTATTGGCATCAACTGTACTTCTTGGACTTGAGGCATCTTGGACATCAAAATACCAGGAATGAAATTTAGCAAACTAATTTTTGCACTGTCGTACTATCAACACGTCATTTCCGTACACATCGATCAATTTCATTTGGACCTGAACAGTTTTTTTTTCTTTTTCTATAGCAAAAGAGTAAAATATGTCGAAAATGCTGCTTAATTCTTTTCGTATCCAAAGTGGCACCATTCAAAAACTGCTACATGTAATTTATTATAATTTTTTACATACATGCCTTAAAATATAAGTTTTTAAATCAAATAATAATTATAAGGCTTAAGTGTGATGTTAGGATCAAAAAAATACTGACAAATTCTGATGGTAAAAAAACGAATTGACTTTATAATAAGCATGGGGAGTTATCTTCGAACAAATGCGCGTTGCACTGTTTTGGTCCTGAGTAGTTTCAATTTTTAAAAACAGATGGCTCATGTGCACTCAATTTCAACTACAAATTGTTCACGGTTCATGCAAGTGGCTGTCAAGTATTTGATCGCTGTATGGCTGTACGAATAACCTAACTTTTTGAACTCGTGTTGTTTCTAATTAATTAATTTTGTTTAAGTGAACATTTGTGAAATTTAATATGGCAAAGTGTTTTTATAGTACCCAAAAAAGTGTCAAGTGCGGGTTAAAATATTTAGCTATTCCAATACAAGTTTCCGCAAAGGTATTTTTTAATAATAATTGCAGCAATAATTATATATAATCAAGATATGTCAACATGTTATTATATTGAATAGGTGTCTTGGGGGTACCTGCAAATTGCTGCAAAATGCACGAACAAAGCGCAGGAGTACTTTTGACAACCAAGGAATGCAATATGTAATGACAAGAAGGATTCATAAACAATGCAATAATTTAAGGAATAAGTCGTACAAAAAGTCTCCAAAGGTCTACTATTTTTGGAGACAAATATTTATTTTGCCATGTCCTCAAACATTGAGAAAGTTGCATTCAGAGATACAAGTGTATAGCGGTATTTATGAGTGTCTATTTAAAACATTAGGTTCAGCTATTTCTTTTAAAAAGTATTAGTAGCAGATACTGTGTTTTGATGTTTGATGAAATACCATTATCTTCGGAATTGTTATATGATTGGATTGAATCTCATATTGTTGAAGTTGCAAAACAGTTATTCAGCTAGTATGGTTTAAATGTTCATCAACGTAAGTTCATTGTTATATTTAATAAGATTATATATTACATTAGCAAATGTAAACACTTATAAAGAGAGTCTATACCATACATAATATTTTAATGTATTTTGATTGAAGATTAGTGTTTTAATATTCTTCATCGTTTTAATATTGAGATCAAATACTTGACTCAAATAAAACTTGTGTAACATCCCAATATAATGTTTAAATTCAAGATATATTTGTTTCCGACCTTGGGAATCAAAAATATTGCTTTTATCTTTTGATTCATAAACAATTGTATGTGCATAAAACATTATTCTGTTCATTGTAAACACTTTGTTGATCTTTTATGGCAATTTCAATGATAATGTTTTCATGATGAAACATGGCTAAATGTAATGTTATAAAACACTCGTACAGAAACTATTCAAAGGTTTTGTTAAATGCAACTTTACTATTAATTCATTAGATAGCGAAATAACTATTACATGCAGAATTAATAAAGAACAATGTCTCGTAAATGAGTTTTAATCCTAGGAATTTGAATTTCTCTCAATTTTGTTATCAATATATATATTTTATGTTTTTAGGACTTTTTTGTTTGTGAAGTATTTGTACTTTTTAACAAATTATTTGTTTTTTTCTTAACCCTTTAAATTTTTGTATTATTTGTCATTCCTTCTAAATTTGTAATTTCATTGCGTGCTCCTGTGCTTGTAGTTTTCTTCTTAGTTTTTAAGATTTTAATATATTAATATTAGTCATTAAGTAATTAATATTAGTCAGTTATTTGTGCTTAGTTTAGTTAAATACTTCTGTGATTTTCTTCACTTAGATATTTAGTTTTTGAAATATTATTTAAGCATAATTGTGAAATTATAATACTTTTATAATTATGTATAATAATTATTATATTTTCAAACATTCCATAACTGTAATTATAATTGTTAATATAAACATAATTTCAATTGTTCTTTAAACATATGTAATATCTTTGAAAATATATATTTTGTATTTCGTATGATTTGTTCTTATTTCCAATATTAAAAATTATTCAGGTTTTTGAGGCTGTATACGATACGTACAAATTAAGAAGTAAAACCAGGGGTAATTTAAATATAATACATGTGCTGCCATCTATTTTTAAAAATTTGTATTTTAATCGAGGTAACGTCAAACCGCCAGACATAGCGATCTATTATACTTGTTTATCTATGATAATAAGTTTATAAAAAGATTTTTAGTCAACTCATATTCTTTCTTTATAACTTTTAACATTAAAAACATTGCTTTGTTAACAATTTTCCATCATTTTTTAATTGATCGCATTTGCGCATCATTTTCGAGGGTAGAAATCGCAGAAACTTGTTTCTAAATACTTGTTTACACTTGTTTATACTTGTTTATCTATGCTTGTTTATCCATGATTATCTATGGTAGAAACATTTGTTCAAGCGAAGCTCAGAACCATTAGTATGTTTATTGTCCGTTATAACGGCGGCCTCAGTCGTTTATTTGCACAACTACTAGGAAAGCATATCAATCGCATCATTTGTATCTGTGGCCTACTGTGCCGTATTTGTGCTTGATTTTAGGTTGGTTCTGTGACATAGCGATTTTGTATCTTGTTTTCCTACAGTGTTAAAATAATTTAGTAATTAACAATAGTAAATAATTATGGCCCGAGGTAGTAGTGCAGGTTTTGACAGGCATATTACGATATTTTCGCCAGAAGGGCGATTATATCAAGTCGGTATGTAAAGAATTGCATTTTTAATTGTAGCCGTGACTAAGCATTTGATTTTTGTATGAGGTCGTATTTTTCAGAATATGCTTTTAAAGCCATAAACCAAGGAGGTTTAACATCTGTTGCACTGAAAGGAAAAGACTGCGCGGTGGTTGCAACTCAAAAGAAAATTCCTGACAAACTTATTGACCCGAGCACTGTTACTCATCTCTTCCCAATAACAGAGAATATTGGCTGTGTAATGACTGGAATGATCGGTAAGGGATTTATGAATAAGTATGATTGGTAAATATTGTGCAACTGTGGTCTATAATAGATCGTTTAGTTGTATCAATAAAATTGTTTTGATTTATTGCTAAATTCGACACTGTCTTAAATGCAACATTTCTCAAGTAAGATTTTATATTTTGATACAAAAAGTTTGAGGAAGAACCTATTTACTGATTTATATATTCCCAATAAAAACCCATATATTTGTTTTAGGGAATGATTCTAGAATAAAGTATTTTATATATTGGTATGAGACTTTCAGCATAACTTATATTAAATGATATCTATGAAAAGAGAAATTAACACAACTTTGAGTACTTCTCTCATCATCTTCTTTCTTTACCCATTCGAGACCGATTGCTCACCGCGTGTGCAATAATGATAATGAGCAATTATCAGTTATTCTGAGTAAAATAGTCGTCGAGATGAGATTTTTTTTGAATTAATATTATCAGTATAGAAAAACTATATTTGGTGTTGGTTTTAATGTATAATTAATGTTTGGAACTAATGTATAATTATTTTAGGATTAGTGTTTAATGTTTCCTAAAAATGTATTTACAAATTGTATTTTATTTTTTATTACTGAGTTACTTTATCACCTTTAGACATTTTTCTAAAATTTATTTCTTGTTTATATTATTTTCTTCATAATTCAACTTATTTCTTTTGACATTTTACTATTTCTTAAAAATTTCTTTGCATTATATTCTGTTCTTCATTATTGAAAGCAACATAACGATTTTATATTATCTAATTTTTTTTAAATAAATGTTCATCAATTTTAATGATGTGTTTTAATTTTACTTTACATTGCACACATTCAATAAAAATTCAATCTGCTAGCAATAAAAATTTTCTGAGGAGCGAGTTGGACACATAGTGTGCAATCATCTTATTTATGCGAATTCGCTTACAAATTGTGTGATTTTCAGAGTAAATAACTTTATTTATTAAAAATGAACAATATTAACAAAAAAAATTTTTTTCGCTCCTGGAAACCGCTTTCGAAAAAAATCGCCGTCTCGAATGGGTTAAGAAACATTTTTTACATATTTGCTCAGTTTTCTGGTTCTTAAAGTTTTTACATGTTTACACCTATTTCTTCAATAAAAAATTTGTAAATAATTCTTTAATTTTGATTTTTCTCATTTCAGCGGATAGCCGTTCTCAAGTTCAAAGGGCTAGATATGAAGCAGCAAATTGGAAATATAAAAATGGATATCCTATTCCAGTGGATTGTTTGTGTCAGCGCATGGCTGATATTTCTCAGTTATATACGCAAAATGCAGAAATGAGACCTTTAGGCTGCAGTGAGTATAGAAAGTTTAGCCCATTCAGTTTATTTTACTTCTGTTTATATTGTAATTATTGTTATATTGGAAAAAGTTATCAACACGTTGACAAGAGAATGATTCAACATATGTTCTTAGTCAATATAAACAATTTCGATCATCCTTTCAATCTAGTCAATTGTTTAATTTAATATGGCTTTACATTGGCTTATATTTCTTTACATCAGCATGTATTATTGATAATTGGGAAGGTATATGAGCCGAGTTAACCATCAACTTAAATTAGGGATGTTTTTTGTGAGATTTTCCATTACCATTCCAGGTCTTAGTATCCAAATAGTATTATAGAAACACAAGACTCGCAGTGGCTAGATTATGTATTAAACTTCATATGTTTAAATGTTCACAGGTATGATATTGATAGGATATGATGCTTTGAAAGGACCCTGCGTCTATAAAACAGATCCTGCTGGTTACTGCTGTGGTTTTAGAGCCATTAGTGTGGGTGTAAAGCAAACTGAAGCCAATGGATATCTTGAGAAAAAACTGAAGAAGAAACAGGTTTGTTTGAAATTTGAAAGTAGTACCTTTACATAATTATTACTAAAAATATTGCTAAAAAAAATTAGTAAGATCTTGCGTTGTTGTTTTTGATAATAACAATTCCATTCGATACTCATGCCTCTTGTTGTTTACATTATATGTTGTTTTTTTTTAATTCTATGTAATTGATTTTTTGATTGCATTTACTTTTGGCCAATGCCCCTTATTATCAGTGTTAATATCTTTGATAGTAATATTGTTTTTCCACACATGAAATTCTTAAAGTTATTTTTGTATGAAAGATGTAGATCAATATAAAACACAATGATAATTTGAAATATTTCTTCATAGTAATGTAATTTAATAATTTATTTAGGATTATACATTTGATGAAGCTGTCCAGTTGGCAATTTCATGTTTATCAACAGTGTTATGTGTTGACTTCAAACCTTCAGAAATTGAGGTTGCGGTGGTTACGAAAGAAAATCTTAAATTTAGGTATATATGAATATAAAATATGTTAAATTATCAATCTTGTTTTGTGACTTACTATAGATTACTGTAGATTATAATTTATTTCCATTTTTAGGGTTTTGACAGAGGCAGAATTAGATGTTCACTTGACCGCTATTGCTGAGAAAGAATAACTGTTGCTAGAGACATAATTCTAATTATGATTACTGCGTAATTTAGTTATATCAGTGATGGATATTTTTATTAAAGAATCAAAAAACATTCAACTTTTATATAACCTAATCTCAAACATTATACATTATATCAGCTATTTGAAAGGACCATTTTGATCTATTATTGTTTTTGGTGTTAAATTGTTGACTTGAAACAAATTTATATTGCATTAGTTGCGTACCGTCTTACAAAATATTATTAAAAATAAAATTTCACCAGTTTTATAAGGAATATAAAAAAATACTTTTTTATTATCAGATTTATGGTGTATATATATATATATATATATATATATATATATATATATATATAAACTTTGTTCAACATAGAAACATGTTTTTGAAATATTTATTTGCAGCCAAATTGTAAAAACAGTGTATGTATTTGTATATGTATATACATGTCTATGTATAATGTATGCATTTAGAATGCTTGTGCATATTTTTGAGAGCAAAGATACATGTTTTGCATGTTGTATGTAAATACATTATTATAGTCATGTAATTTTACAAAGCAATATTTTTAGGCTGAATCTAAGTGATAATTATGGAGCACAAATGAAATTCTATTTTATCAACTTTCCAAAGGTGAAGTTAATGTTTTTTCCAGAAAATCCGATTTGATAATTTTGTTTTTTTGGCATATTAAGTCATCACAATTTATTTGATAGCATATTTCGGCCAAGTTTCTTAAAAAACAACTGCACTTATTTGAAGAATTTAAAAGCTGTTTGATGAAACAAACACTTTGACGAAGGTGGGAAATTTCACAAGTGGAGGATGTAACATAACCTGTGGAGTTCCACAAGGTTCTGTATTAGGACCTTTATTGTATCTATTATACACCAATAACCTTAAAGACGCAAAATTAAAGGGAAGATACATATTATATGCAGACGATACAGCGATAGTATATGCGGATAAGGATAAAAAAAGACTCGAAGATATTATAAACACGGACATGAAAATATACACCGAGTGGCTAACTGAAAATAAACTAACAATTAACATAGATAAAACAAAATACATATATTTCAAACATAGAAAAAATACTGAGAACACTAAACTAAAAATTGAAGTAAATAATAGAGCAATAGAGGAAGTGGAAAGCATAAAATACTTAGGACTGATAATAAATGAAAAACTGACATGGACAGACCATATAAACAAAATAAAAAGAAAGATAGGAACATTAACAGGGGCATTGAAAAGGATCCACTCTTTCGGCAAAAAAAATAAAATACTAATTCTTAAAACGCAAATAATACCTATAATTTTATATGGCATAACAACATGGAGCCAAACAACTAAAGCAAACCTAAATGACATACAGAGAATAATGAATAAAGCCATAAAAATAGCATATAATTTACCACATCTAACACCCACCAAATACTTGCAGAGAGAAACAAATAATCATTCACTAAATAACATAATTAAAATAGAGAAATGCAAACTAATACACAAAATGAAATTTAACCGAATTAAAACAAGTGCAACAATAGACACAAATCAAGATATACATGAACACTACACGAGACAACACAACAATTTTCACATTGAACGCAATAGAAAAAAGAATTTGAGAGAAAATGTCATATGGAGTGCTACCAAAATATATAACGAATTGCCAGACTATATTAAGATGACCAATGATAATGATAATTTTAAAAGAAAAATAAAGAAGTACTATATGGAAATTGAAGAAAAAGAAGACTGAAGAGTTATATATAGATATTATATTAATGAAATAGATATTATAGTCAAATGAAATGTAAATATTATATGAAAACTGTTTTTCATAATCTCTCATACCAGGCACCTCTGTCTGACTGAGATATGAAAATAATGTATATATGTAAATAAAATAAAAAAAAAAAAAAAAAAAAAAAAAAAAAAAAAAAAAAAACACAAGGGCTCGTGTTAAATCTCTTTATATTTATAAAAATTAGTCTATTTGTATAAAATTATTTTGACCTGAAATGATTTTGAAAATTTATAAACTGCTTGAATATATCAGTTGAGAATTGTGTTGGTAATTAGTTCGTAATTAATTTTTGATGTTTTTAGTGAAAATTTGCACAGTATTAGGATGGTATTCGGGTTCGTGGTCTAAAGGATCTTAAAGTATTATAGTCTCATATGATTGGTGGTTCAATTATCAAATTCAGGATAGGCCATGCTCTTACAGCATACATCGTGTATGTATGTAATTGCCTTAATGAAATTTATACAGCTTCTAAAATACATAGTAAACTTGGGCCTGATCGAAGGATTTTTTGTTTTTCAGAAATTTTGATTTTTTAAGACCAATTAACTGTTGAATTTTTACCAAAAATCTAAAAAAAAAATCCTGACGCCGCCATTTTGTTAATTTTTGAAAAAAAACAAAAAGCTTTGATCAGGCACAGGATTATCTATTTATAAAACTTTTTTTTTTATTCAATTGATTTTAGATTTTTCTTCTAGGACTTATAATTGTCACCGCAAGAACCTTATTTTTGAACATGGTCAACACAGACACCTATAACTTTGGAAATATATATGTATATATATTTTTGAAATTTTTGTTACTTCAAGTCAAAACATTGTTTAATAATGCCATATTACTATTTTTGTACAAAAACTTGGTTTCATAACAAAATAAATTACTGAAAATTCCCATTTTTTCGTGCCTCCAAGCACTCCTAATCCCTTAAGGTGAAATGCCACTTACACCTTATTTTAACTTCCTTTATGGTAAGTTATAGTAATCGCAAAAACATCGAAAATGAAAATTTTTATATATCTTTACGTTACGGATGTATGTGTGTGTGTGTGCGCGCGCGCGTATACAAATTTTTGTCGACGATTTCGAGAATATCGATCAACCGATTTGAATAATTCAAAAAACATTCGATTCGTATTGATAAAGGAGATGTGCTGATTAGTTTTTGGCAAAGGCAGATCTAGCCGTTCCGAAGATACGGGGCAAAAAGTGCCAAAAACGGTAACTCAGTTTATAAGAGAACGGAGCGTCCGATTTTAATTATTCAAAAAACATTTTACTTGTATTGACAAGGTTAAATTTTTGGGAAGGGAGGTCCAGCGGTTATAGACTCTCAATAAAAATAAGTTAAAAAAAATGTCATTTGGCGGTCAAATATGTTCATTGGACAAATGTTCATCAAATTATCAAATATTTTATAGAGATTTTAATAATGTATACATATTTTATGTATTTTTTTTTTGGGTTCCGTACCAAGATTTTTAATTACGGTACGGGTTCCAGCAATTAGCCTTAAGGCACGATGCCATGCACCCCACTAGTTATAACACTTCTTCATTTTGTTCGTGTCGAGGATCTGTACTGTGTTTGTTCTATGTCTTTGCTTAGTTATGATATCAACCCATCAACCTCATTTACAAAGAATACCGCTACATGTATCTGCTTGTACAGATTACATAACAATTAAAATTATATTCAATTCTGTCTACCGTTAAGACCTAATTTACTTTTTATTATGCATGCAAAAATTTGTGACAGTAGTGTTAGTGGTTGGTTAATTTTTGACAATTGTTATTTTCGGAACAAACTTCAGAAAATTGCAAGTGAGAAGCTAATGAAAATAATGATGTCTTATTATTATTTCTTACCGGTTCGAAATATTTATTTCATAAACGCCAAAGACATATTTCTTAATTGAATCAAAGAATTATGTTTACACTTGATATAAAAAATGGAGTCGGAGACATAGCGTATTGTTCTTTATTATGGTAAATTTTATTTTCTAACATCTATTTTTTGATGTTAGAAATTTAGTCTGAATTGAAATGCACATTATCAAAAAATATTTTCTGAAAATCAGTTTACATCAATTTCAACATACCTACGTTAGTTATGCCTGATCCATGCTGATGCTTTAATTGCGCTGAGCTATATTGTAAATAAGTTGTAATTGTCATTTTGTTGAAGACATACCTTGAATATTTACTTTTTATATATGCTAACATTAGTACCGACATAATTGCATGAATTTTAATATTAATAAATTATATCAAATTTCAGCATAAGATAATGGGCTTTGTTATGCAATACAAACGCACCTGTATGCATTGATGTCCAAAGGCAAATTCATTCTTCCTCCTACTTGAATGGCTGAAAATAAGGTATTTATATAATTTAGTGCTTATACATACAACAAAAAATAATTTCAAAATGTTATTTATATTAAAATATGTCATTTAAAAATTTACTTATTTCGCATGTAGAATAAAAATATATACAAAACATATGCGTATTCCATTACACACCGATGAGATTGGATTGATAAATAATTTAGGTAACTTTTTTTTACAATAATTAAATAGCGATCAGAAAATAAATTTCTGTAAGCTATTGTGCTGATTATTAGAGCTCCAATAAGAGTACTGGAGTTCTATATATATGACATGATGGAAATGACCCCAGTGGGCTGTTCCATAGGTAACTTCAAATTTTTTTTATGAGATTTTTTGCTGCCAAGATGCATTAAATTACCGAGAAATGCAACATTGCCTAAATGTAATTTTACTTTTCACAAACATCAATCGGACAATGTTTATACGATACCCACGATTTCTCAACTCCTACTGAACCACTTTAAATGGAAATTAAACCAACTGGAATTCTTCGTCTTTTTCATAGACTTTTTTCAGAACTACGCTCATCCTCAAATTTCGATTTTAACTAATTTTTAAAAAAATTAAGAATATCGAAAAAAGTTGTAAATACTTCTCCAGTTTTTTCGCCATTTTGCAAAAAAAAAATTTTTCTTGTTTGTAGTTTATACGATTCCGACATCATTCTACATTAATAATATATATTTTTTCTTCAGATTATTTTTAGGGCTGAAATCTTTTTGAAATTTTTTGAGACCTTGCTTCATTTACTTCTAGAATTAAGAGTTTGACTATTTTTAATATTTTTTCTTGATACTTGAAATATTAATTAATAGCCTCTAAAAATATAGTAAAGGTATTGTTTGTCTTGTTTTAACGGACTTTCGAAAATCGAATAAAATTCATGCCTCTGGACCAGAATACCTCCTTAACTCGCTATGAAAGTGTGTTAGCAATTGTGATAACTCATGTCAGTCAGTTCATTTTTGCTTATAATTTGTGTTTTTAAAAATGTTTTTTTTTTATATAAGCTGTTGTGGTG